CCCCCGCCCCCCGCAGCTACCCCAACTAGCGCGGCCCGCTGCGCCGCCGAGAGTCGAAGGCAAGTTGAGGCGTTAGGCCCCGCCAGCCGCTCAATGGAGCGAGACCAATTATCAGCGCTTTAGGGGCTCCACCGCGGCGTGGCCGTGGCGCGGCAGGGCGCTTCGTGGCAGGCCGCCACCAGCCACCATAGCAGCCTTCCCCTCGCTCATATAACAGTAGGCTGACATAATCCTTGCTGGCTGCCTGCCTAGTAAGGATTTGATTGAACGCTGTGAAATCATTTCACTGGAAAAACAAGACAAAGGTAGGACTTAATGCCTTTTCACAGGTACGAAAGTGTCCAAATTAAATTTCAACACATTTGGGCAGTTTTAATGCCTTTACAGGGGTGCTAATTTTTAAAGCCTTTGCAAAGGCATTAAAAGCCTTCGAGTCTTTACCTTTGTTTTTCCAGTGTTATCTCGCAAAAATAATCTAAAAGCGCAAAAAGCAGGTGGGAGTCGTGGTTGTTGAAGAACTCTCTTCTTTCTCTTCTCACGCGCACAAAGTGCAATGACTTGCAGTAGTCCAAGTGGGCGCCAGGCAGGCTCCGCTTCTCCCGGCTCTAAAGGTGAGTGAGTGAGTGCGTGCATCATTCAAGCGATCGGCCAGGCCTTTGCCCTTCCGCCCCATGCCCCATATATATATCGGTAACGCGAGGATATCTTTTTTTACGCGCTCGCCCCCGCCTTTCCCGCGGCCCTTTTTTGCGTCTCGCAGGACCGGACCGGAATCGGAACCAAAAGAATACGGCGCCTCTCCTCTTGGCCTAGCAGCGATATCGCGCAAGAGCGAGAGTGGGCCAGGCGTGGACCTCCTGCGAGAGAGAGAGAGAGAGAGAGAGAGAGAGAGAGAGAGAGAGAGAGAGAGAGAGGGAGGGAGACAGAGAGAGAGGGAGAGAGAGAGAGGGGGGGGGGGCAGATGGTATTTCAGACCCTTAGAACGGACCGACACATAGTGCCCCAGCCATAGTTTAACCCTTTGCTCCCTTTTTATTTTTTTATAATTCTGCACTCTGAGAGGAAAAAGAGAGAGGTAGAGGAAGAGAAAAAAAAAAAACTGCCCCAAAAGTGATATCATGGCCCAGCTGCAAGCAGCAGCAGCAGCTCCCCCCACCGCGTGTTAAAGTGTCGACAGGTTTTTTCGTGTTTTTCTCCTCTTTTTCCCCGTCGTTGTCATCGTCGTCTCTTCCGGCGCGCGCGCTTTGAAACTCAAAAGTGGCGGTGTGGCTTTCACACCGCCGGCTAGTCGTGGCGTTGCGACCCCCCTTGGAGAATACCGTTTTGTCTTTACTCCACATAACACTCTTCTTCCTCTTGTCGCTGGGAGGCACACACAATGAGGATACCTCCGGGCTGAAACCCACCCGCGCGCGACCACTCCTCCACGCCTCCCTCTCCCCCCCCCCTCTCTCTCTCTCTCTTTTTCTCTCTCTGGCCGTGGCGGCATCACATCACCACGCATCACCGACGCCCGCGAGCAGCTTGGCGTCGTCCGCCCCGTCCGTCCGTCCGTCCGTCGTCCGTCGTCCGTCTGCAGCTGCCCCAACAACAGACTGTTGTGCCTGGCCCGAGGCCGGCGGCGGCGTCCATCCCAGCGGCACTTCCCACGTCCGTCCCTTCCCTTTTACTCTCGGGTTGGCCCGTGATAAATGCCTCGCTATTTCTAGTAAGTGTGCGATTCGATTCGGGCAACCCCAACACACACACAGTGTCTGTCCATCACGCTGCTCTTTGGGGCGCCGCCCCCCCCCTTCTCCCTCTTTCTCTCTCGCTCTCTCTTAGTGGCGGCGGGCTGTTTTCGTTATCGGGTGGTCCCCGCTGCAGCGCGGGCGGGCGGGGCCCGGGGCCCCGTTAGCGACGGACTCTTAAGGAGGATATTGATTAATGGTGCTGGGCGGACAGCAGCAGCGGTCCAGGCTGACGGGGGACGGTGACGGCGGAGGGAGGTGGTGTCCATAGTGGTGCAGGCGAGCTCTCTCACTCGCACTCGAGGTGGACCTCTATCCGAGTTTCTATCCCCCATCCCCCTCTCTCATACTCGTTGAGCGGTGCAGAGTGCAGAGTGCACTCGGGCTTACAGGTTTTAATTTACCCTTTTAACATTTCTCTTGGAAATTGTTTTGAATTTAAAAGAAGCCTTTTAATTTGTTTT